ACACACACACACACACACACACACACACACACACACACACACACACAGACACACACACAGCCTTTTCCTTCAGAGGCAGGCAATAAAAACAAATGTTGATGTTTTGTTTGTGATAATGCATCAGTTTGCAGTAACTTTTTAGATTCCACCATTAAACTTTATCATTATGTGTGGTCTTTTTAAGCCTTTTGCAGTTTTGATTGTAAACAAAGCAAATGCAAAAATAATGATAATTATTATTATTAAAGTAAAAATGGCTTTTTGGAAAAATTAGGAATGCATTAGCGTTTAAAATATACAGTAGCTGCATATGAGGGGATGAATCGGACTCGCAGCCATTTTTATGTTCACCTGTTCACTGTTTAATTGCTGGAAAAATCCCAATAGGCTCATTCTGAAGAGGCATCAAATTTTATCCCTCCATCTGTTTGTTAGATATTTACAGGGCTGATTTACGTAGGGAGTTAACGCAAGTTTATGCAAATAAGTGCTACGTGTTTGTTTTACTAATGGCAAGTTGCAGTTATTCAAGTTTGCACAAAATATGGGTTTAAAGACCGACAGGAAATTATTTATTCATTCCAAATGTGAAGTTTTTCACCCATTCCTGCTGTAATTGATGTTCTCCACTCAGGACTGTCCCAAGGAGTTACTGCTCATCTTAATCATATTCATATTAATCCAAACTGTGAGTGGGGAAACAATAGACGGTGTCTGCTCACTAGCACCTTCTGTGTTTTATTTATTTTTTTCTTAGAAGCTGACTCGACTGCAAAAAGACCCCGAACAACCATCACAGCCAAGCAGCTGGAAACGTTAAAGAATGCTTACAATAACTCTCCGAAACCAGCACGTCATGTCCGAGAGCAGCTATCCTCAGAGACAGGTCTGGACATGCGGGTTGTTCAGGTAAAGTTTATTATTATTCATTAAGGGTCGTTCCATTAGTGTCCTGACTTTATTAACGGAGGACAGTTGTGGCTGATCTGGCACAACTGTATGAACAAGTGATGGGGAGTGGGGGGGATTTATGGCTGTAGATGTAGTAAAATGAAGTCCACGTGGTTTAAGTGCAGGCTTGTTAACAATAAGAGGGTCCTCCTTGCATATTGTCTGCTGCCGGAGAGCTTAGAGCCAGTTGCAAGGTGTTAGTCGTATATATTGTTTTATTTGCAAGGACAAAAGTGGGGACAGAAGCCACTAAAATGTTCCTCATTATTCAGTGAAAAGGAAAGGGTGAGGTGGGTTCACTTGGGCTGGAATATCATTAAAAAGAACGCTGCTTTTGTTCAAGTGACCTAAGTGGACTGAGTGGAGGGTGACAGATAAAACCAAAGCGAGTTAAGGTTTCAGATCTGTTTCTGCTAAAACTGGTTCGGGTCAGAAGCCGATGTGGGAAATTGTAGATATATTAAGTTGTCGGCATGCTAATCTGCCTGCTCTCTGCTGGAAGTTCATAAACGTGTTTTAAATTAAATATAGAGGAACCTGATCCTCTGATTTAAATCGCATGAAGTTTGAAGTTTAACTGTTCTGACCTGTCAAGAATACATTTATTGGATTAATGAAAGTTTGTTTATTATAAATTGTTTTTAAATCAAGTCTTATTCATAATTCGTACCCAACTCCATTTATAATGAAGCGTTGCCTAACATGAGCTTTATTTATTTATTTATTCCCTGCAGGTTTGGTTTCAGAACCGGAGAGCAAAAGAAAAGCGGCTAAAGAAAGATGCAGGGCGGCAGAGATGGGGCCAGTACTTCCGCAACATGAAGAGGTCCAGAGGAAGCTCTAAATCTGACAAGGACAGCATTCAGGAGGAGGGCATGGACAGTGATGCTGAGGTGTCCTTCACAGGTAGAACTGCACAATTTATACTTTTATACATGTTCAACAGAAGAGCCAAACATTTTAAGAATGTTTTATTAATCGTAGCATGAATCAAAAACACTGTCACCATCAGGATTACATCATTTTACTTGAATAAAGGGATCAATTGTAATAGTTTATTTTTATTTTTACAAAGCAACTTTTAAAGATAAAGACAGTAGAACTGTACAGAAATGATTCATCAGTTAAAGTGATTATGTATGATACCCAATGCATTTTTCAACACATGGATCTGTTTAAATGATTGTAAAGAAAAAAATATTGATGTGTTTTTTTTTTAGCTTGAATTTAGATCACATACAAAAAGATATTTATTCAAAATCTGAGGATGACAAAAAAATGGCTTAGACTTTTTAGTTTTTATTTGAAATATTGTTTCATACGTCTAAATTTATATTCATATATATACAAAGTGTGTATATATATATTCATATATATATATATATATAGATGTATGTATGTGTGTGTGTATATATAAGTATATATGAATATATGTATGCATATATACATATATATGTATATATATGTATACATATATATACATATATATGTATATATATGTATACATATATATACATATATATGTATATATATGTATACATA